CAGTTACATTCATTGTTGGGATCTTGTACCTTTACATGACAAGTCTTGGTTCTCATTTTTCCCCTTGTCCCTGCCCTCCCTTCACCCCCTCCTCTCCTCCCCATCTACAAACACTTTATTTCCATCTTTTCATTATCTCACATTTTTTTCTTTTCCCTTGTTACCCTTCCCCTACCCATCTCACCTTCCCTACACCTTTAGCTCCTTTCTTCCCATTTCTAAATGTCAGTAATCTTATTAGGATCTTCTGTATTATTGCAGATTATTCACAGGTGATTTTTTTGTTAAACTAGAAAACAATTATGGTATTTTACTCAGCCAACTACATAGAGATACAATGAAAAACCATAAGTGACTCCTTGGGTTTCCTATTTAGAGCTGAGGGTCTATAATCTCATTTAACAATAATTTACAAAATGGCTCATATAGATCATGATATTTGAGACTCCATTTTATAAATAAACCTTAATGATGTGATTTAATCTCATTGAAGAGCCGCCGAGAAGTTAGGCTGGCACTGTAGCTGAACATAGTTTGCTAAGGAGAAAAGAATAAAGGATGAATTTTCAGGTGTGAGTTGAGTGTTGTCAGAGTTGATTTAATCAATCTACTGTTCTGATCCATTTTGGAGCCATCTGCAAGCAAAATAGAGGCTCCCTAGAAGTTCCAAGGACCTCTCAACAGAACAATGATTCACGTAAGAGAAAAAGAAACCTAAACGTGGTCCATTTTCAAGATGAAACAGTTCAACTCTGAGTGGAAAATCCCTGGCAGTTTTCTAATTGCCTGACAAAGTTCATGGTTTTGGAGAATCTCTGGGTAGATGGGACCTTGAGGGAAACAAAAATAGATAGTGTAGGTGTGAGTAGGGAAAGGGAGAAGAAAAGCATATTCTTCTAGCTGAAGCCAAGTAGAAACATAAGCAGCGTAACTGCATGAAATCACTACACAGGAACATATGTTTCTCAAAGTCCCAGAGTAAAGAACCGACAGTATTATGCAGAAATCCAAACTCAAATTGGGAGGGGGACTGGGGAACTGCCTTATAAAGTGACATCTAGGGAAAGAGTGTGCTTCCCCTAGTACTTGGCCAATGAGGAACAGAGGCGAAGGGACTGCCTTCGGGCTAGAGTTTAAATAGCTTGATGTGACCGCTTGGCCTGTGCCTGTCCATCAGACACCCAGGTTTGCAAGACCGAAACTGCGTTAAAACTTGGCTTTTGCTGTTCTTCCTTGCCTCTGAAGTCCATTCTTTGGGTCTGGACGTGTAAACACATTTCTCACATTTGTGTTGGGAAAGCAGCCACTAGAGGGTGCAGGCGGGATCATCTTGATTGCTCCACGCCTGGTGAATCCCAGACAATGGGGCAAGAGAATAAACCACTGATTACATCAGAGTTGGAGTGCATTAGGAATAACTTCTGCAATATTTCTGATGCTTCCTTTCCTGTGAAGGCAATTGTCCTGACATATTCCTGGTCTCTGCCTTTTTCCTTCGCTCCATTACAGGGGCGATGACATGGCCCGACCTGAGTGAAAGCCATTACAGATGTTCCATCCCTTTTCTTTCACCTTCTTCTTAAGAGCAAGTGGTCTTCTCTGGGGCACACTCTACCTTTTGTGGGAAGGCTCTGTTGTTGTCCAGGGCTGCCAGTTTTGGGGAATGTATCTCTGTTTAACTGGTCTTCTGTATTAGAAAGTCTTTGTCTGCTTTTTGTTATGATAAAGCTGATTTTTTGGCCTATGTTGACTCTATGTTTTATTTTTCAATTCATTTGGAAACAAAAGAGTAATATTTACTGAACTCACTAAAACTAATAAACAAAGAAATATGATAGAATTTTGGTTATAATGAAAACAAACTCTAAGTCATTATAACATGTGGCAGTTTCTGGGGGGAAAGAATTTTCCTGATACACATATTTTGAATTCTCAAAATGCAATGCCGGTGACCTAAGGAGGAGAAGTCTATACTTCATGACCACAGGTGAACAGTGAACAAGATGTGCTGTTGTAGACCACACCAGGTAAAAAATGTCTTGTTAAAATGTGAGTCTGTGATTCTTACCATGCTTACAGAAGAGGAGCCCGACACATTCAACAGTTAGCCACAGTATTTCTGTTGTTTCTAGCATGCTGTGTCCATAGGAAATAAAATATAACACAGCTTTTTGTTATTTGCTATTTCTATAGAAGCAGTTTGTTTCAGGAATGAAATTAATCCACTTGAGTTGTATATGAAATTTCGTTTAAATCATGTAGATTGTTCTCATAGAAAGTTTCAGTCTCTGGGTGGTCTGTGTATCTTGTAGAACTACTTTAAATAAGCGTTCCTCCTGTAATTTCAAATTTCAAAACACTTCAAACCTAGTTTCTCTTACACATACTTAGATCTTACAGAATGCAATGCATCATTTTATGATACAGAATCATCAATTTTCTGGGTGAAAAAATTATGTGGTATAGTTAACCTGGGAACCCCTACACCCCTGTTTTAGAGTGTTCATGAATCTATGAAACATTATAGGAAAACTTGTATATGTTAGAGCATTTTTCTTGGAGATGCCATACTTTCTCAACTTCCAAAGGCAGCCAGAACTCACAAAGGTTTAAAAATTTCTGATTCAGAGATTTGAAGTCATTAAATTCCCGAAGATGTATCTGCTTTAGACTACAAATTAAAGTACTCTGTCTTGCTGAATTGTTTGTTTCTTTAAAAGTGTCTCCTATGAAGAGTGATTGAGAGAGGGTTGAGCATCCAATCCCACCAGGTAGCTTCTGAGACTATACCCAGTCCTAAGAAGTCTCAAGGGAGAATTCCAGAAAGACAAATTACTACTAGCTTGGGAACTGTTGTATGGGAGAAATCGTGGCTCTCATGAGTGGGCAGAACATATCATGGTAAGCTCTTTCCCTAGGCTACTCAGTGATCTAAGGCCTACAGTGCTAAAAGTAACTAGAATCCTCTTGGTTGCTTCCCCAGGTCCATTGTCCAGTTTTGCCTTCACAATGAAAAGGATAGCAACTGACCTAGAAACAGAGATCTGAGTAGGGGTGGTGTGGGATGCTTTAGTAGCATAATATGATTTAAGTTCAGATATTGTTAAGTGATATTGGTTATAAATCACCACAGAAACAATGCTTTTGCCCATAAAGGTAAACAGATCTTTCATAGAGATACAGTATTTTTGAATGACAGCGAGAAAGGGAGTAGGTGGCAGAAGAAAAAGAAACACTAAAAGGGAGGGGAGCTTCAAGACACTCTAAGGAAATTTATTTTGTGGGATGCCTGTAAGGTGACTAGCAGTGTTCCATTTCCTTCAGGTCAGTAGAAATGGCAGCCAGAGGAGCTTAATTTTAGCATTAAAAGGATGGGTAGAGGAGTATAAGTGCTTCATAGGTTTTGAGGCAATTGTAATGAAAGTTCCAGGCTATCAGGTTCAGTTTACATTTATTTAGCACAGTACCAAGACAAATGATGGCAACCTGCACAGTTACCAGTGCCTCTAGGAGAATCCATGTCCTTTCCCCCTCATCTCCTTTTTGTTATTGACGGTATTAATACATTTTCAGTCACCCATGGCAGAAGTTAAGATGACATCTTCCAATTTTTTTGTGTGTGTTTTGTTTTTTTGAGACAGGGTCTCACCAGGTAGTTGATTTTTTTTTTGTTTTTTGGTTTTTTGAGACAGGGTCTCACTGTATAGTTGAGACTGACCTGGAACTCACTATGTAGCCCAGGCTGGTCTCAAACTCACAGAGATCCTCCTGCCTCAGCCTCCCAAGAGCTGGGATTGCAGGCATGTGCCACTACGCCCAGCCTCCAATTTTTCTTTTTAACCTCCATATCAATTGCCATAAAATGCTGGGAAACATTTTTTACCTTCCTCTACTGTTCTACTGGCACTCCATGCTCCAGCTGTTATTTACCTCTCCTAAACACTTCAGTTTTTTATGCTTCCAATCTCTGCACATGATCTTCCCCTTCATGGAATTCACTATGCAAACATTATCTCCATTTGAAAACTCCTGCTTCTATGAGGCCAACCTCAACTCTTACATTCATATTGATGCCTCTAATAACTCCTACCCACTGCAATTCATGTGAAATTGCATTGTTCCTGCTTTCATTATGAGAGAAAATGTTATTCATATGTGATAAATTTGGATTATGAGCTCCTTTAATATAGAAGTTTTATGTCCTTACTTCCTGGCCCATTGTCTAGCACATAGCAGTCTTTCAATATACATTTTGTGAAAAAGTGGTAGAATAAATGACTATCCAAATTTGAATTTTTCTACTACTTAATGTTGCCAATTACATCAATTTTTAAATAAATCACTGTACTTATCTCATCTGTACTAGGAAGAAACACATATTTGTCTGGTCTATTGTGAAGATTAACGGGACATTTTTCATTCAATCAAAAGTGCATGTGGTGTGTGTAAGTGTATAAATTAAACAGAATAGTATCTTAATAGGAAAGATTTGCAAAACATATTACTTCACTGCTCCTTTTTCTAGGTCATTGGATAAAAGAAAAATATATTAATTATAACATTCATGTTTTCAAACATCAGTAATACTCAAAACTCCTGAAGCTTTTAAAAATGATATCCACAAATTGAAAATGTATTTCCTAAACATAGTAAAGTGCTATAGATCCTATGTCCTGGCAGCATATATTACAGTTAAAGACAAGGATATTTAGCAAACTATAGTACAATGGGCTTAGAGCTTTAAATAGAGCTTCAATAAAGAACTGAGGGCTCTCAAGATAAGGAGATAATAAAATAGGAAAAATGTACTAACAAAATCTGCTGATGACTGAGATATTCAAAGAAGCTGTTCTTACAAAAAGGTATTTGTAAAAGAAAAAAGACCAATTCAGGGACAAAAATTAAACTAAAAAACTCCTCAGTTTAGGTATAAATTTGAAATACTTAAATTTTGTAGAAGACATTGAGAGTCAGTATGTGCTCATAGAGGACATTCTTTTAATATGATGAATTATTAGTGGATATGGGATTATTATAGTATAAAGGGCAGGCTCATTGATGAAAAGAAATTTCCTTCCATTTTATTAAAGATGATGAACAGAGATTCCTGTCTCCAAATTTGTACTGAGTGCACACATTGGAAGAACCAAATTTCATAATGGCCAGTAGTTAATAATAATTTTCAAATCTAATATATAATATAAACTGATCAGGGCTTGTGTGAGAACTGAATGAAGATTTCCTATCTACTCAATGCTAATTACTGTTAACATTTAGAACTTACAAGCTTTGTGTTCCCTTCTCCTTCTCTGAAAATTCCCCAGGCCAAGTAAAATGGAATCACAGCCAGCCTGCAGAAAGAAGGCAAAGCCGTCCACCCTCCTGGCTTCAGACAGAAAATATATAGTTGGCCCTGAGGTGGCTACAAAACACATTTTTACTAAATGGAAAATAGGATTTAGAAATCAGATTAATAAAAGAAAAAGGTCATTATTTGTTTAAAAATACACTCATGATGACATGTACTAGAAATCAATCAGGAATGAGTCTTGAACGCAGCTCTCTAAAATTCAAGGGCAATCATGATCTCACAGAGGTCCTTATTAGTGAGACTGGGGTTATCACTGGACAAGCAGAGAAAAGGAGAAGCACAAGATACAGCAGAGTTTTAGAGACTTTGCTGCCTACTTGTGCAGGGAGAGAATCCAGTGATTCTGGCTGGGTAGGTGCCTTACATTGGAAATGTCAGAAAGAGAGGAAACCGCAGTGACCCCCTTCACCAGGAGCACAAAAGAAGAGAAAGCATAGCTCTTAGAAAGACCTGGCAAGACCACAACCTGTGTCTGCCAGGCCTCTCTGACCCTGCAGCTTAGTGCACCAGCCCTGCTTTGAGGAAGACAAGGCCAGACCTTCCCACATCCTTAAATGGCCAGAAAAGAATAACTGTTTCCCCATCCGAATTCTTTCCCCATCTGATTTCTGCGTATTACTGAGAACATGTCATTTTTAAAGATTTAAAAACTCAATTTTAGCACACTATGGTTTTTATTAACACATGTACACAAACTTTGCTGAATTCGGCAACACAACAGTTCATGAACTTTTGCCATGCATTTTCTGCTAAAGTGGTAGAGATAAAAACAGACAGATGTTTGGAGGACAGCTGCAATTGGCTTTTAAGGAAGAACAGCAATCCTCAGTGTGAGTCCTTGTAGGTCTCTGCTGACAAGCCTTGTAGTTTAGCCACCCTTTCCAGTGTCTCACCAACTCACTCAGAAGTCTCTCCAGAGTCCTATCCACTTCCTTTCTTTTCTAAGCTCATTGTCATTTTCCTTTTCTTCAATCTTCTGTTAGGTTTACTTTCATTAAAAAAAAAAATCAGACTACACTTTTTCCTCCTCATGTTGCTTTGGAAATAGTTTGCTTGCGCTCAAGGTTTGCCTAATTGAGTTAAAGTGTAGATGTGTCTAACTTCTCCTATTGCTTTCCTACCCCCTCTCCTTTTTCTGCCTTCCATTTGCTTCATCTGCCATTTTGATTCTGGATCTACTTCTGTCTCTCCATATCCCTCTAAAACTGAGGGTCCTCTGAAGGATCCATGAAGATGCCTGACCAGGGAAAACTATTGACAGAAATTTAATAGCAACAATTGAAAAAAGCAGTGAGGCCATCACTGAGGAACTTTGGGGTCAGCACATCTGAAATTCAATCTTTGCATTGTCAATTATTTGAGTGTGGCATCAGTTAACTGAATCTCAAGTTATTTGTCCCATAACATGAGAATTAGTTGAAATAATAGAATTAGTCTTTGGCACAGACAAGGCGGTGAGCTAATTCGAATCAGTTTTTCTTTTCATCTTCTAATGGTTTCCTTTCACAAGGGAAGGATTACTGTGAAGTTGTGGCCCAACTCCTCCTCAAAGACCAAACTGCTCCCACAAAGTCTAGGGACAAAAGCATCTTACCACCCTTTCTAACCCATCCAAGTGTTTTTCTGCTTCTCATTAAGAAATTGTTCACTTTTAACTCACCTTTTTTTTCCTGCTATATATAAGTCACTTTTCTCTCAACCTGACTGTAAGAAACATTGCAAAAAACCCTCCCTTACAAAACAAACAGATAATAACAATACAATGTGATACCCATTCTCTGCATCACAGTCTCTAGCAGAGGGTCATCACTGAGATACTTCTTAACCCCCCTTCCTCCAAAGAGTAAGAAAAATGCCAGATAAAATAAAATTTAAAAACCCAACAGATACAATATAAAGAAGCCTCAAGAAAGAAAGAACTGAGAAAAAGTGATTATAGAGATAGTGGAAAAATCTCACTAAACCGAAAAGACAGAAAAAGGTTAAAGGCAAAGAAAGAATTAGAGATAAGTTAGAAACAATAAAAGTGTGAAATACAAGACAGGTTAATATAGAGACCTGTAATTATAGAGAAATACATTGAAGACACAGATATAAAGAGTCCCAACCAAGAGGCACTAAAACAAGCAGACAAATGCAAAACATACAAAGGAGCTAGAGCAGCTGCCAGCACACTGGGCAGCTGTGTGGTGATGTGGAATCAGTTTAGGAGCCACGGGCATCTTCCAAGTCAGGGAACAGGAGATTGGCCTGGCTTCTCTCCCCTACCCAGCCTTCGAGTAGACCTGCCCAGTCTGGCTGGTCCTCTCAGTCACACGCAAGCCACTTACCCCTCGGCCAGATCCAGCAGGGCAAACAAGAAGAATGAGATCCCGATGGAAACACAGGGGATGAAGTGAGCAAGCAGGGAGAGTTAAGGGAACAGAGACAGGGCTAGACTGCTGGAAAGGGAGAAAGTGAGCAAGGGGAAGGTTCACAGGGTACAAAATCTGAGCCATCTCCCCCAAGGCCACTGTGGGGAGAGCCTCTGTCTGATCTGAACACAGGCAGTTGCTGCAAGGGGCTGGGAGTGTTCACTACTTGGGATCCTCCCAGAGGCAGGGCCAGCTTTCAGCGCAGAAGCTAGTTTATTCACTGACCTTGTCCAAGGGCTTTGGCACACACTGATGAGGACATTGGCTGTGCTGATTAGGCTGAGAAGAGTGACCCAAAGGTACAGGGTGAAGATGCAGTGGTTTTGCTATGAACCAGCAGCTCATTTATGGGGCTGTGCATTTATGGGGCTGTGCATATGGTCCTTTATCTGTTTTCTTTTTCCATTTCTCTCAATTGCACACACACACACACACACACACACACACACACACACACACATGAGGCACTAGCTCTCTTACTTGTTACTGTTCGGAGCCAAATGTAATAAGGCCAACTATCTATTTTTGAGGCCTGACCATTGCCACTGTCTCCCTGGGGATAGTCTTGTACCAGTTCTTTCCAAGGCTCCCTTGTGAGGGCAGGTCCATGGCAAGTGGCCCTGGAAGGCTTAGCACAGTCCATGTTTTCCTAGATAATTTGTTTCCTCTAGCGGATGAATTTATAGATAAGCAAGACCTGGCAAATATGATCCTGTGCTCTCAGCTCCAAATCTGGGAACACTTTAGCTCTCATCCATTAATCTTTCAATTTGTTTTGAATTAGTTTTTTGTGATGTTTTCTCCTGACTTAATTAGCATTTCTGTGTCCTCAATTAAATGTTTGCTCATGTCATTATACTATGTTCACCCCAATGGTGACCATTGACTGAGCAACTCCTCTGTGTTAGGTACCATATTAACTGCTCAGATGAGGTGTAGACAGAGGGACTGTCTACCTAATGAAGCATACATTTTTTTTTTTTTGGTTTTTTGAGACAGGGTCTCACTATGTAGTTGAGTCTGACCTGGAACTCACTATGTAGCCCAGGCTGGTCTCAAACTCCCAGTGATCCTCCTGCCTCAGCCTCCTGAGTGCTGGGATTACAGGCATGCAACACCACACCTGGCTAAGCATACATATTTGATTAGTTGCTTTCTTCCTAACCCCAACCCACTTTATCTCTTTAAAATTTCTCTTCTTCATATCTGAAACACCCTTTGTTTGCCTGATCTACATCCTGTGCTTCTAAAGCTCAGTCCAGCACTGAATTATTTGCCTTTTAAATTCTGTATAATCCACATTACTTCAGCAATTATTCTATTCTTTTAATTCTCAGCAGCAGTTATAATTCAGAAAAACTTGGACTGGTATAAAATTGAAATTTATAATACTTGTGTCTTGACTTATTCTACATAGTTGGGATTCCCCCCACCCTGTGTATCATATGATTTCACCAATATCTCCCGAGTTTGAGTTGCACCAAATTTAATGTATTTGGGAAATTTTGGCAGCATAATTCAGTTTGAATAAAAGGCATAAAGACTACGGAAATAGACTTTGTAGTAAAAGATATCCAAGTATTCTTCATACAATTGTTCAAAAGCAAACTCTTCAAACAAATTAAAAGCATCAATTTTTATATCTGCTTGCCCTGAAAGGTCAATTAATTGCTATGTTAAGTAGAATTTAGATGGCCCACTTCCCTACAACCTCTGGTCCACAGTGTCTTATTGACAAAATGAGCAATTCAAATTATTCCAATTGATGTTATCTTCTAAGACAGCATTGAACAAGTTAGTTTTATTCTTTATTTTTTTATCGGTATAACCAATTTATTGAGGGAAAGAAGGCTTCTGTCTAAGAGAGACAGAAGGGGGATGGGAAAGTGGGTTACCTGCTCACCCCACTTCTCTAAGATGTTTTATAGAGCAAAGCCATATGGTGAGGTGGGTACAAAGTTGGACAAAACCATAAGATCCAATGGAAAATTACAAGGTGAGCATGAGGTGGGGCAAAACCATGACCAACCAATAAGATTACAAGTACATTCACCCAGGTCATATTGATTAAATGGGGGGTCAAATAGGGGAGCAAGTCATGTAGCAAGCTTACAAGGATTTTCAGTAAGGGTGGGGTCAGGGATATTTCCTGGAAAGGCTGGGTTAAGACCTTGGTGTCCCACCCAGGTGATTCAAACCTATTTGGAATATCACTCACTGCTCTTTATCCCCAGGGGAAGCACAAGGGTATAGTAGTTTCTCTCCCTTTACAATTCTGGCTCTTAGTGAATGTGTTCTTATTGTCCTCCATGTTGGCTCCTTGAGGGTGGCCCTGTCTAACTGCCTACATGATATCTAATTAACTTACCTATCTGCAATATTCCCCCCTCTGAAGTAGTACCCCTAACTGCTGTGAGGGGGCAAAGGGTGAAGACAGCTCGGGCTATTTCCAGCTGAAGAGGGTCACAGTTGTGATCAGCAGTTAGAGTTACTCTACAGAGGGTCTGTCTAAAGGCCTTCCAAAGGTGCCCGCCACCGTCATCTTGGTAGCTGCATAGCTTTTAAGTCTGGAGGAGTAAAAGCCAAAGAAATAGTTAAGAATTCATGGGCCAAATTATAAGGTCAGCAGGATTGCAATGAATATAGTCCACAAAGAGGATAAGGAGAAGGCCCAAGGGACTTCAAAGTCCAACACAGAAGTCATATTGTTTAGTTTAGGAGTTTTGAGCTGTTTACAAGGGTGATCTGGTGGATCCCAGTAAAAGAAGTCTAGCACATTTGTCACTGGTTCCATTTGCATGACTGCTTGGAGCTTGGCAGCCTCTAGGTAAGAATAAATAAAATTTCTAAGAAATTAGAATATGCATAATCTAAGCACGAGCACACTAGAGTGAAAGGGTAGGTCAGGGAGAAAGTCACTCTTAGAAATTGAAGTGATTGAACCTACTAGATTTAGATTCTGATAGAAGTTATCTATAAATCTGATACTTTGTCATAAGTCTCTCCAGTTTTAGCTGTAAGATTAAGAGACAATTGGAAGAAGAAATTTCTCTAAGAAATATAAAACTCTAGCTGAGCTCTTATAGGTTTTACATAGTTTTTCCTAGTGGTCCATTACCATGGTCAGCTGCTGGTAGAGCTGGAAACTGACAGAAGGGGTCAGTGACTGGAGCCCCTTTTTATATCTAGCTTTATTACTATGGCATTATTTTATACCTCTTTGGGTTATTCTTTTCTGCTGGGTGGGTAAGACCAAATTAAAGTGAGACCTGTGTCAATCAACATGAACCTCTTTCCATCTATTAAGGCCAGTTACATCCCCTCAGGCATTACTTTGGAACCATGCATAGAGCCTGTCTGCTCCTGTGTCAGTGTCAGCCATCACAATGGGTCACAGCCTTGTTGGACCAAGTTGCTTTCACTGAAAGCATGGAAGTCTTTTCCCTCTTGTGACCCTCTTTTGGCACACAGTATATTTGTCCTCTGGTGACCAGAAATCTCCCTGCTCAAGAGGTTGAGTGACTTACCAAAGATGTAGGATCCTCTAGGAAAGGTTCCTTTGTGTCCTGGATGTTGTAGACCTTGAGGGGCCAGAGCCAAAATATGGGGTGTCCTCATAGCCCAGTTACCTTTCTAGTTTTGGTCTCCAAACTCCAACCAGTAATCTTGGTGGAAGGCCTCCAAAATGATATAGGGGGAAGAGCTGTAACTCCCAAACCTATTAGATATCCAAAATCATGTTCTCTAAAATTGAGGAATGAATTCTAGGAAGAACGGAGGTTAAGAGTAGGAAAAATTTATTGAGGGAAAGAAAGCTTCTGTCTAAGAGAGACAGAAGGGGGACTGGAAAGTGACTTGCCTCTAAGTTAGTTTTCTTTCCCTGACATTATCACATTGAAATAACACTTCTTATAGTATGTTTTTGAATGAAAAAATATAAAACGTTTTCCAAAAGTTGTATAATTTTAGCAGCCACAATGATGAAGAATCATTAACCTTATACATGTTTTTTGAGGTCTCTATATATTTCCATTAATTTAGATGTTCATCAGTGATTCTACAATTTTGTATGCTACCTGTTCATGAATGGTTCCCCCTTTTCATTAAAATTATTCCAATATGATTTAATTAATAGGACACACATGTGTAAATACCATATAGTTTCTCTGGTAAGATAAACTAAAAGTGTAAATAATGGTCAAAATTGATATTTTATAAGAAATCAGTGCAATGGAGAGTAAGAGAACATTACAAAAAATCAGGGAAGCAAAGAGTTGGTTCTTTGAAAGAATAAACACAATTGACAAACCCTTAGCCACCCTTATCAAAAAAGAAAGAAAAGGCCCAAATCCACGGAATTAGGAATGAAAAGGGTGAAATTACAACAGACCCAGCAGAAATCCAGAGGATCATCCATACCTACTTTGAGATCCTGTACTCCAGTGAGTTGGAAAACACAGAAGAAATAGACAGATTTCTAGCTACATATGGCTTACCAAAGTTGAACCAAGAAGATATTAAAATTCAAAACAACCCAATATCAATAAACAAAACTGAAACTTAACTAAAAACTTACCAACAAAGAAAAGTCTGGGTCCTGATAGCTTTACTGCTGAATTCTACAAGACATTTAGAGAAGAGTTATTGCCACCACTGTTTAAACTCATCAATGAAATTGCAAGGGAAGCAGTACTCCCAAATTTATTTCTGGAAGCAACCATCATCTTGATCCCCAAAGCAGAGAAAGACCCAATCAAAAAAGAGAACTATAGGCCAATCTCCCAGTTGCAAAAATCCTCAATAAATTACTGACAAGCAGAATGCAGGAGACACTCAAGATCATACACCCAGGATACAGGGATAGTTCAACATACACAAATTGATAAATGTAATCACTATACTAACAGGGCCAAGGAAAAAAAATATATGATCATCTCAATAGATGCAGAAAAATCATTTGGCAAAATCCAACACCCATTCATGATAAAAATCCTACAGAAGAAAATTGGAATAGATGGACTTTACTTCAATCTGATAAAAGACATCTATGCAAAACCAATAGCCAACATCATAAAAAATAGTCAAAAACTGAAATCAAGAACAAGAG